CAACAGATCTGTGTTGGAAGACGTGCAGCCAGAGTGCTCCTTGGAGGCCAGGATGGAAAACTTCACCTCTCATACTTTGGACATATTGTCAGGAGGGACCAGTCACTGGAGAGGGATATCATGTTTGGTAGGGTGGAGGGTCAGAGATGGATTGGCAAAGTGGCAGCATCAATAGGCTCAAGCGTGGCAATGATTGTGAAGTTAGCCCAGGATCGGGCAGTGTTTTGTTCTGCTGTGCATAAGGTTGCTATGGATCGGTACCAACTCGATGGCACCTAACAACAACAACAACAGGTTTTAAGGAGAATAAATAAAAGAAAATCTACATGTAAACACATCATACTGAAACTGAAAAATTCCAAGAAAAAGAGAAAAAAAGATATTAAATACACAGAGAACAAAACCAGATTACCTTCAAGAGAATTCTAGTTAGAAAACAGATGAGTTTTCAAAATCAACAATGGAAGCCATAGGACAGTGGAACAGAATCTTCAGTGTGCTGAAAGGTAACTACCAACTGGGCGCTCTATACACACACTAAACCATCTTTCAAAACCAAGATGAAAACAAACAAGTAAACCAAACTAAACAACTTGTCACCAGCAGGTTCTCAGTACAAGTAATTTTTAAGGGTTTTCTTTAGGTAGAAGGTAGAAGGAAAGCAAAACCAGCTGGAAAGCAAGATGCAAGAGAGAATGAAAAAGAAAAGAAGGAGGAAAAATGGTTGTGTCTGAATTAAACTGATGAACACAGCCTGATAGTGAGGTCTGTGATATTAATAAACAATCGGATGCTTAACGTAACAATAGTCTATAGGCCAAAAAAAAGACACAAGTGGAGGAGTTAAAGTGTTTACGATTGATTTACAATTCAGGAAAAGGATGAAAGAGTGTGACTTTGGTACTTGCGTGTGCTGTCTGAGTGTGACTTTGCTAAGTGTGTATGTTGTCTGAGTTACTTTGGTAACTACGTATGTTGTTTGAGTCCATTATATTCTTCCTTCTCCTTTTTTATATTTTTGAAATTTTCCCTAAACATTCTTTAAAATAAGCTCTCTAAATTTGAAAACAAAGTTACGTATATTGGAACACTAAGTTTTCTATTCCAAAGTAACAAAAACAGTATATAACTTCCCAACAAGTGTAGTGAAAAAACATGGGATGATAAAAAGGTGCAATATGTAGAAAGCACAAAATAAGATGACAGGTTCCAATCTAAATGCAGGTATGCATCACTTGATGTCCACTCAGGTAACATCTGTGGCCCTAGAAGGACTTGTTTTTATTTTTTAAAGGGAACACAACTCTGTTTGTTTATTACTTCCTCCTAATAGTTTTAACCGCCACGTGTTTGTCAGGTTGTTTTTACTGTCTGGCTTGAGTGTTGCTGTGATGCTGGAAACTATGCCAATGGTTTTCCAAACATCAGCAAGGACCCATGGTGGACAGGTTTCAAGGGAGCTTCCTGAAAAAGCCAGACATTAAGATTGGACTTCCAGACTAAGACTGTGGCATTAGGACTGGAGGAAGACTCATTAACAACCTGCAACATGACACGACTTTGCATGCTGAAAGTGAAGCGGACTTAAAACATTTACTGATGAAGATCAAAGACTAAAGCCTTCAGTATTGATTATACCTCAATGTAAAGAAAATGAAAATCCACAAGTGGACCAATCAGCAATACCATGATAAATGGAGAAGACTGAAGTGGTCAAGGATTGAATTTTGCTTGGATCCACAGTCACTGTTCTGGACGCCAGCGTCAGGACGTCAACACATTGCACTGGGAAAATCTGCTGCACAGACCTCGTTAAAATGTTAAAGAGCAAAGACGTCATTTTGAGGTCTAAGGTGTACATGACCCAAGTCCTGGTGTTTTCAATGCCTGGGAAAGCTGGATGATGAGTAAAGAAGGCTGGAGAAGAGCTGGCGTCTTTGAATTACAGTATTGGCGAAGAATGTTAAATATACCACGGACTTCTGGAAGTCTTGAAAGAAGTATAGAAGGAGTGCTCCTTCAAAGTGAGAATCCCAAGACTGTACTTTGGCCATGTTGTCAGGAGGGACCTGTCCCTAGAGAAGGACATCATGCTTGGTAAAGGAGAGGGGCAGCTTACCAGAGGAGATGGACGGATATAGGGCTGAAACACTGGGCTCAAACACAGCAATGGCTGACTGCGAGATTGGTGTGGAACTAGACAGTGTTCGGTTCTGATGTGCGGGGGCCACTATGGCACTTCACAGCAAGAGTTTTAAAGACCCCAAACCCAGACTCATGCAGCACTGGACCACGATGGGACACAGGCAGATGAGGCAGACGGTATGCTCTGGGTATGGGCTTGCAACCTCTGTCCAGTGGGCAGTGGGCAGGCATCGGTCAGGGTGGGTGGAGCACTCTCCCCTCCTCACTCAATTCCTCTCACTCCCCCCCACTCCCGCTGCCACCCACGACTCCAGCGACTAGCAGACGCCACTAAGCTTTTATTAGGGTGTTCGTTCGCACAACGTCCCAATCCTATAACGTCCTATATGTATCATGGACATTAGCAGCACATACCTGTACTTCATGAATTACACTTAATAAAAATGGAATAAATCCTGAAATTCATGGCAAAAATAAAACTGAAGCTAACTGTAGTCCTGGTGTGGTGCTGTAGGGTCAGCACAGGACAGCAAACCACGTGGTCAGCAGTGCAAACCCGCCAGTGGCTCCTTGGACACCCTACACAAGATCATCTGTGTCAGAACTGACTCAATGGCATTTAACAGCAAGCAGTACATCTTACAGGAAGAACACATTTAAAAACTACAGAGTCAGAAAGATTTAAAGTAAAAACATGCCAAAATATACCCAAAACAAAGAAAGCTAACAGTTCTAAACAAAAATGACTCTTAGGCAAAAGTAATCCCCTGTACAGGGTCTGCAGAGAAAAAGTAGAAGAAAACAATTGTATACTTGTATGCTTAATTGGAACGAGTCCTCGTAGCATAGTAGGTTACGAGTTGGGCAGCTAACTCCAAGGTCAGCAGTTCAAATCTACCAGCTTCTCTGAGGGAGAAAGATGAGACTTTCCGCTCCTGTAAAGATTTACAGCCTTGGAAATCCTGTACAGGGTTGCTAGGAGTCGGAACCGACTCAACGACACATAACCACCAAGCTTAGTCAGTGGTGCTATGGACTAGGCATTGGGCAACTAACTGTAAGGTCAGTGGTTCAAACCCACCAGCCACTCAGTGTAAGAAAGACTTACAGTCTTAGAAACCCTCCGTGTAATCACTGTGAGTTATAAGTGATGCTTTATTAAAGAATCATAGAGCAAACCACTGACAGAAATGGAAATACACACAAATCAATCCATAATCAGGATGGAACGCTTTACTACAACACTCTCAAAATTTAACAGAACAAGCAATTAAAAAAAAAAAACACTTAGGTAATGAGATGAAAGATTTGGACAGGGTTTAAGATGCTTCATTTTTATGAACATACTTGTACCAACACTTCAGAGTATTTCTGTCTGTTACGATTTTTCCACTTGACTCTCTCTTACTTTAAGAAATATTAACAGGTATGCACAGAAGTATAAAAATGGGCATCATTACTATGTTTTTGGTTTTTTTTAAGATAGTGATAACTGGACCCCATGGCTCCATTTTCAGCCAAATACTCCAGAAGGTGAACAGTACCATCAGGGAGGTATCATTCCCTAGAACAATCAATCACAGGAGATGAAAGTGTAGCATGTGCCCAGGGAGAACGCTCAGAAAGCGGGAAGGGACAGGAAAGAAGGACACACAAGGTGGAAGCCCTGTAAACTGTCACCCAAATCACAGTTCAAAACAATCAAAAAAAGGCAAAGAAAATGGAGACATCTTAAATGTCCACAACAGGGAGATGCCTAAACGCTCCACGGTTTGCCACAAACTGCTGAGAAGTGTCGGCACAAGAGGTCCCGAGATGGTGCTAGAGAAAAAGGAAGTTTGGAATGTTAAACTCAATCCTACTGCTGAAAAAAATTCTCTTACTGTGTGTGGGTGTGTACTACCTGTGTGCACGTATGCTTGCAAACTTGTTAGGTGCCATCGAGTCATTACCAACTCATACAACCTTATGCCTATCAGAATGAAACCCTACCTGGTCCTGAGCCAACCTCCCATCATTGGTACATTGGAACCTACCGCTGCTGCCACTGTGCCGACCCATCTCACTGGGGTCTTCCACCTTTCACTTTACCTAACATGTTATCCTTCTCCAGGGACCGGTCCTTCCTGATAATGTGTCTGAAGTATGAGAGACGAAGTTTGGTCATCCTGGCCTCCAAGGAGCACTCCGGCTTGTACTTCTTCCAACACAGATCTGGTGGTTCTTTCGGCAGTCCATGGTACTTTTAATATTCTCCTCCAACAGCAGAACTCAAAAGCATCGATTCTTCTATGGTCTTCCTTATCCACTGTCCAACTCTCACATGTATATGAGGTTAACGAAAGAAAATACCAGGGCTTGCCTCAGGCGCACTGTGGTCCTCAAACTCACAACTTTGCTTTGGAATGCTTCTGCATGGTTGTGCAGCAGATTTGCCTGCTGCAATACATTATTTGATTTCTTGACTGTTGCTTCCATGAGAACTGATGGTTGATCGAGAAAAATGAACTCTGACAACTTCAATCTTTTCTCCATTTATCTTGATGTTGTTTATTGGTCCAGTGGGGAGGATTTTTGTTTTCTTTACATTGAGGTGCAGCCCATGCTGAAGACTGGTCTGTGACCATCATCTGTTTGCGTTTTAAGTCTTTTCTGCTCCTCTTAAAGGCCTAGAACATTAACCATCACACACTAACAGCGCCGCAGGGTTGGTGGCGAACTGTCACTCCCCTAGTGTGTTGTACCGCATTCACTTTTTATCGGCATGTATCACACTGTGAGTTTTAAGGAATTTCATGAAGTGCCACTTCCCAGACCTCCCTGTACTGCAGAGGGGCAGCCTCGGGCACACTCACCCAGAAGTCCTCCCCAGGGCAGCGCCGTAGGCAGACTGTGCAGGTGGCAGATGCAAAGGTACCATGAGCTTCCACCAGTTTTGAGGCCGGGATGCCAGACACTGCAATTCAAACCTCAGGTGAGTACCACAAACACCCTGAGGTGTCCTTAGCCCACAGAGCCAGCTGCAGACCAGGCACAGGGTGGAGAGGGACCCAGTAGAGTCAAACCAGTCCAAATAACGAACAACACTTCTGATAAAATTACACCCAACACCGAGGAATACATTTTCTATTTTAAAAATGTGAAAATAATATAAACGTCATCAACTTCAAACAAAAAAACACACCTGCTTGGCAGCAAACAGACAAACAGTGAGCTGTGAAGACAGTAACTGTCCACACTGTCTGCTTCTGAGAGGCTCTAGGTGGTCCCCACGAGGCCCCAGAGTGTCCTAACTGCTGACCCAGGACCCACAGCCACCTGGTTATACCCCATGAAGAGCCATTCCAGGTGTGGTCTTAACCAGGTCCTGGGTCCCCTGTCACAGACCCCTTCTGGGAAGGAAGTGCAGCGGCTGGACGCTGGCCATGCCCAGGAGAAGGCCTTGGGGCTGCAGGCTGGAGGCACGGCTCTCAGTGTGGCCACAGACATGGAGGGGACACTCTGCACGCACCCTCAAGGGCACTGAGGATTTACTCTTGCTTTTGGTGTGATAACAACACTATGGCGATGTCGTAAAAGCCTTCACCTTTCAGAGGTGCTGACTAGTGTATTTGTAGATTACACTGACAAATATGGGATATCTACAGGGGAAGGGGGCTGACAGTGAGTTTATTTCCATAATAGAAAACCATTTAAAGGAAGCAAATCATCACATGAAGACTAACAAAACCAGAAGCTCCCAAATCAACTTCAATCACAAAGGAGACCCCAGGCCCATGGGAGAAGGGACCACCCGGCCCGCGGCAGGTGAGGGGCTCACCTCGTTCCAGCCCATCAATGTTCTGTGTGTAGAGCCGTAGCAGCAGGCCCTTCTCATGCAGAAGCCTGAGGAAGTAGTGCGTAAGGTTGGGCCGGAAGTTCCCGGGATACAGCTCCTTGGCCAAGGTGAAAAAGGGTTTGGGGTTTTGAAAGAAGAATGTGAGTTCAAAGATGGCTTCAGGGTACGGAATGTCGTACTGTTGGAGGTTGCTGTAAAGGCCACTCCCCGGAGACCTACAAAGAGAAAGCAGTCCTGAGGAAGTGGTAAATGGGGGGTCTGAGGACCACAGAATGGGGAACCAAGAAGGGTGGGAAGGAATGAGGGGAGACTGAAGAGGGTGAAGGTGATAGTGGGGCTGAAGAGGCCAAGAGGAGGTGAGGGAATGGCAGCAGGCCATGGCAAGCAGGTTTAGGATGGGGGTGGGGGCAGGGAACCAAGAAGGACCTGAAGTCAGGGATGCCGCTGGGCGTGCTGATGCCGGCCCCTGCCATGACCACCACCCTGTGGCAGGCCCTGGTCCGGATCAGCTCAGCGATGTCCTGCAGGGACAGCTGCTGCGCGACACTGCCCCCTCCTGCTCCAGAGCCTCCTGAGGCACAAGCAGTGAGGGACAGGGGCCTTCCTTCACCTGCAACACGGAGAGGAAAAGCACAAAGTGAGAAACTGACAGATGGACAGTGGTGACCTCCCATCGATGAGAATGAACAAGGCCTCCTGTCACCAGGGTGGTCACAGGGCAGAAAGAGCATGCTAGGGCAAGGTCACAGGGACCCTGCGAATGAGTCAATCACCCCGTGATACCATATCCAAGCCGGGTGCTCAGACAGACCTTAGACCTGACTACCTCGACTGTGACTCAGGTGCAGTGATAGGCCGGGACCCCCAGTCTAGCAGACGGGACAGTCACAGGCTGAGAGGTATGTGGAGGAAAAAGTCTTAGACTGCTAGCAGTGACAGGAAAGGGGTTTTAGTGGGAAATAATTCAGCCAGAGCTGGGCTTTGGGTGTTCTTAAGTGCTGTCGAGTCGATTCTGACCCAAAACGACTCTGTATAGGGTTTCCAAAGAGCAGCTGGTGAGCTTGAACTGCCGACCTTACAGTTCAAACAGCTTTGCAGTCTGATGCCACACCAGGACTGCACCTGAGAACTTTTGTTGTTCTTACGTGCTGTCAAACCGGTTCCGACTTAGAGCAAATCTAAACACAACAGAAAGAAACACTGCCCAGTCCTGTACCACCCTCACAATCACTGTTAGCCACGGTGCCAAGTCATCTGGGTCGGGGTCTTCCTCATTCTCACTGACCCTCCACTTTACCGAGCATGATGTTCTTCTACAGGGGCTGGGCCCTCCTCAGAACACGTCCCAAGTCTGAGAGGCCAAGTCTCACCGTCCTGGCTTCGAAGGGGCCTTCTCTGTACTTCTTCAAAGACAGATCTGTTTCTTCTTCCGGAAGTCCACGATACTATCAGGCTTCCTCTCCAGCACCCTAACTCAAATGCATCTAGTCTTCTAGTCTCCCTTAGTCACTGTCAAACGTTTGCATGGCAGCATGAAGTAAAGATTCAAGGGGAGAAGACAGAGGTAAAGAGGGGTCTATATACAAGACAGAGAACAAAGGCAAAGGTAGGGGTTATGGAAGGATTGTAAATAATATTGATTTCAGCTTTAGCAGCTTGACGCCAACTCCTAAATGGTTAGCATTCTGACCTTTTGCTTCCTGGTTACATGCAGGACCCATCATTCTGTTTTCTTTTCCAAAGCGTTAATTGTGGATTGAGTGATAGTTTACAAGGCAGATCATCAGTTTTGCACTCAACCCATCATATTTTGTTTCATTGCAAGGATTACAATCTCCTCCATGTGTCCTCAATTAACAGGATTTACCCCTTATAAGGTGGGACAGTCCCTCTAAAAAGGACAAGCAGACCAGCCTGGAACAGCTAGAGTGACAGACGATACATCTTCAAAGAAAGTTCATTAGGAAAAACCCAAAACAAAAATGTCAGCATGAGTGGCTACTACAAGAATAAGCAAGCTGTTCACCAGGAAGCCATTAAGGCAAGCAATCAAGTGCCTTCAGGACAAACTCTCCTCTAAGACTGAACTCAAAGAGAACACACGAACAGGCATGTAAGCTTGTTGGCGACCACACTGGTCTACTGGTGAGTGGAAGAGGCAGAAAGGCAGCAATGAAGAAATGGGCTGAGTTCAACCACGGTCTAGAGACTCCCATTCACCTGGAGATGAGAGAGGGAAGAGGAAGGGCTGGTTGGTATAAAGTATGGTGAGACCTGGGGACACTTGAGCCCATGGGGGCTAGAGCTGAGAGTGAAGCATCCAGCTGATATGAAGTGAGGGGAGATGCATAAGAACACCCAAACTTGCAGACAATACCCATTTGACCTGGCCTCGATGGCTTGATAATCAGAACTCGACTAGAGGAAGATAATAAAAAAACCCACAACAACAACAAAAACCAATTTTTGATAAAGGAAACGAGGGTGAATTGTTACAATTTTGATGAACCTGACCTCTACTCATGGAGGTAGTAACTCTAAATACCAACAGAGAGGGAAGGAGTCTTCACATCAAGTATCAATGCTATCCGCTCTGTACACAGGGTAGATAGGGACGGGCAACTTAGATACTGGCTACCTAAAATGAGGGGGTGATAAAGGCACAAAGTGACTGGCTTACAAGGTTTCAAGAAGGAGTTTAATAGTGTGTGGGGCGGGGAGAGTCACCACTGAATAGTTTTCATCTGGTCAGGATAGGTCTGGTTAAAAGAGATGGGGATAAGATTCTTATGATTGAATAGTGAGTAATTGTTATCACGACTAATTGTGACTGTCACAATTGTAAGGCAGAAGTTTTGTAACAAAAATGGGGGAGTAGTTAATCTTACAGTCCAGAAACAAAGGACCCTAGGACCATCAAGGGAGAAGAGCATAAGTGGAATGAGAGACTGTGTCCACAGAAGCAGCGACACCAGAGATGGAGAGATGGCAGAGATGGGAACATGGAGAGAGGGAGCAGCTGAGGACTCTAGATTCATGGGAAGAGAGGGACTAAGAGCTGGTGGCCAGGAGGCTGATGTGCAGAATGTGCCCTTTGGTGGTGTAAATTATTATATATGCCTGAGTGTTTAAAAAACACAAAAGAGCTAAAGTGAATAGAGAGAAATACTGTTATCTGATGGTATTGTTGTTGTTGTTGAGTGCCGTCGAGTCGATGCCGACCCATAGTGACCCTGTGTAGGGTTTCCGAGAAGCAGCTGGTGAGCTTGAACCGCCAACTTTACAGTTCAAACGGCTTTGCAGTCTGGCACGTTAACCCACAGCGCCACACCAGGACTCCATCTGATGGCATATGGAGGGGATTATAATCATTGTAATGAAACAAGGTGTATGATTTGTTGATTGTAAAACTGATGATCTGCCCTGTAAACTTTCACTCAATCCACAATAAATACCTTAAAGAAAAAAAAAGAGAGAGAGACATAGGAGCAGAATGGATAAGAAAACCGGATCCTTTAATATGCTGTCTGTGAGAAATCTATCAAAAAGTTGGAGAGAGTCTAAATGCCCATCAACAGAAGAATAGTTAAACTTTGGTGCACACACACAATGGAATACTATAAAATGTTGAAGAATAATGATGAATCTGTGAAACACCTCACAACCTGCTACCTTTCTGCACCTTCAGTTTGCTGTGGTACCACAGGATCCTACAGAAAGCCCCAAGACCAAAAATGAAGTCTGAAGAGGTAGCCACAGCCCAGAAACTCAGACTCTCTCCACACCATCTGCCCACAGGAAGACATTTCTCTCACTATTTGAAGACAGACCCTCCCCCACGCCGTCTGTCAGCAGAGACCCTCTCCAGTCATCTCACTGCATACAGGCACTCCTCACACCATCTGACTTTCCTACGCCATCTGAGTAGAGACCCTCTGTGGAAGGGGGAGCATCCAATCACAGGCCCCCAGGAAGCACACTAGAAAGCTGCCTCTGAGGTGGTGGGGGAGGGGAGCTGTGATGAGACATGAAGGGGGACCTGGTGGGTGAGGACCACAGCCCAACCTCCCTGGAGCTCTGCCAAGTCACTCAGTACCAAAGTGAAGCACAAAGGAGCTGGAGATGGTGCTCATAGCTTTGCTGGAACCAAATGGAGCTATAAACTTCCTAACAACACAGGAAACAGCAAGGAAGAAAAACTTCCCCTAGCTCTGGTAGCATAGTGGTTACGAATCGGGCTGCGAACCGCAAGGTCAGCAGTTCGAAACTACCAGCTGTTCCGCGGGAGAAAGATGAGGCTTTCTGCTCCCGTAAAGATTTACAGCCTAGGAAACCCTGTACTAGGTCACAATGAGTCAGAATCGACTCCACAGCACATTACCACTACCACCATGCTCCTGCATACAGTCAGAAAAGACCGTGAAAAAGGTCCCTTGCATCAACAGTTGTATAAAATACCTGACCAGGCACCTGGGATACACGAGTGAAAAAGTATACCCCCCACCCACAACACACGCACCCAAAGAACACCCATCAGTGAGCACTGAACTCTCCAAAAGCAAACTGCTAGGAGGCACACAAACGGAGACCAGAGCAGTCCTCAGCGGAGCGGCTCCTCTAGGCATCTTCCTCATCGGTACGTCTGTGACAGACCCACTGGGTTTCAGCACCTATACAGAAAGTACTTGGGGTGCAAAACACAAAGTAGATGCTCTGTGGCCTGAAATTCCTGTGAGTCAGGGACTGGGAACCCTGAAGTGGGCATGGGTGCTAACTGGGAGAATGTAGAGAGGGAAACAGGTGACTTATTAAAATATGAGACTCAAATTCAAAGATCAAGGGGCAGAAATGCAAACAGCTGAGAGTCTGTGCTAACTTAGCAACCTCATGACCACACTCACAGGAGTGACTGCAAGGAATTGTCCATCTGCTGAGCACAGCTGGTGGCCTTAGCCCTGCAGGGTACAGGCCATCTCTGCGCTAGAAGCAGCTCTCCGGGGCGCCAGGTGAGAAAGATTTCTCAAGAAATCTTTCCCCAGCTCAAGAAAGATTTCTAAGCAGAAGGAATGATTCCCTTATTGCAGACTGTTACATTGATATCTTTAGTATCATGTATACAATGTATACAGTACAATGACAATGAGTAATGTGATTATTTAAAGGAGCTATGGTAGCATAGTGGTTAGAATTGGGCTGTGAACCTTCAGGTCAGCAGTTCGAAACTACCAGCTGTTCCACCGGAGAAAGATGAGGCTTTCTGCTTCCGTAAAGATTTACAGCCTCGGAAACCCCGTACAGGGTCACTATGGGTCGGAACCGACTCCACGGCACACAACAACATGCTCATGGGGAGCTAACTGTACAACCTTGGGGGACGTCCTCAGACCGGCTGGTCTTAATGGGGGCTTGAGGGGAACCTGGGAAGTGGGCCAGGCGTCTGAACCCCCTTCTTCCTGTCTTATTACCGGGGTTCAGGGCTGGGCGGTGGGTAAGTTTCTGATCCCATTCGGGTGTAATAAAAATGTCTATCATTTTAGGCCCAGCTGTTCCTGCTAGAAATGTATCCCAAAAGGGACGTATTAACAAGGTGATTGCCCACAGCATGATTAGTAATAACTAAAGATGGAAAATCATCTCCATAAAGAAATGGTTAACTTACAAAACCCTTATAATGGCATCCTACAGATCAACACAAAACTCCTCAGAAAGCACCTAGGTACTGAGATGGCAATAACCCAAAATGCACTGAAGGAAGAAAACCGATGAGGTTCTAACGGAGTCTGCACCGACAAGAGTCAAGAGGACAGGCCAGAAGACACGAAAGGGACGCCGCCCGGACAGAACGGCCACGCACGCGACTTCCCCTCGAGTGTCCGGTCCACGGCCCTGACCTAGCGGACGTCCTCCGGCCCCGCAGCCACCCCTGAGCGCCCGAGACGACCGCCCGGTCTCAGCTCGCGGGCTGCTCTAGTATGAGTCGGGGGTCGGCGGCCACAGACCCGCTCACCTCCCGCGCCCCAGTATCTGCTGGTGGGGAGAAGCCCCTTCCCCAGCACCGGGACTGCGCGGCGAGCCCACAAAGCCATCTTCTCCGCCACTGCGGCGTCCTCGCCGGCCACGCCCCCAACACTCTCTAGCCCCGCCCCAGCACAGTCGTCCTCTCCCAAAGGGCAAAGGCTCGCGGTATTTGGCGGGTCGGGCGACTGTGCTCCCGAGCTCCCTCGCGCGACGCAGCGCCGGAAGTGAGTGAGCACTTCCGTCGCCCATCCCCGCGGCGCTGACATCTGGGTTGTGGATTCGGTGGTGCAGTTGTTTTGGGTACTTGCCGCCATGAAGGACGTGCCGGGCTTTCTACAGCAGAGCCAGAGCTCAGGACCCGGCCAGGCCGCCGTGTGGCACCGTTTAGAGGAACTCTACACGAAGAAGTGAGCGCCGAACCGAGGGGACGCGGGCTCCGGGGAGAAGAGAGCGAGGCCGACGGGTCGGGAACGGGGAGGTGACTGGGGGACGTCCTCAAACCGGCTCGTCTGAATGGGGGCTTGAGGGGAACCCGGGTAGTGGGCCAGGCGTCTGAACCCCCTTCTTCCTGTCTTATTAGCGGGGTTCAGGGCTGGCCGGTGGGTAAGTTTCTGATGCCACTCAGACACAACCCGGGTGGCTTGTGCTCAGCATGGTCGTAGAGAGGGACGAGCCGAGGCTAGCGCAGCTGTCTGTTCCTTCCCCTGAGGAGTCTGCGGCTGGTCCCAAGCTGGGGCGCCACCTCCCCATTCCCCGTGGTCCCCACTCCGCGCTGCACGTCGCATTCGGCTCTTGGTCCTCAGAGACCTGTCAGAGTCTGGGTTTATTTAGAAACACGATGAATTCTAAAACAAGCTGTCTGTGGCCAAGCACCAGCCTCTTTTAAAATGGGCAGGTCAGGGCGCTAGTGTTGGGCCAGAGCTGTTCGCTAGGAGAACACACCTCCTGTAGTAACCGCCCTGGGAGCAACCCTTCTGATGTCTGTCTGAAAGGTTATGGGTCTTACTGCTTGGCTGCCGACAGTTGTTTGTGTTTTTCAAAGAATTTTATTATAAATTATTATAATCAGTTTGGGGGTGAATTGCATCCTGCTACTGTTCTGAACATTTTACTATATGCTTACTTAAAAGTTCATTTTCCCCATTTATAGTGACAAAACTGACGCTCAAGTTTAAATACTTTCGCTGAGTTTGTTTTCCATTTTACAGTTGAGAAAGTGGAGTCTTAGCTTGGCATGTTAATGAAAATGTAAAGTGTGATTTAGCAGAACCTCATGGTGTGGCCCTGTAGGATAACACTGGGCTGCTGACTTTAAGGTCAGTGGTTCAAACCCACCAGCTGCTCCTCCGAAACCCTATGAGTTGGAACCGATTAGACAGCACTTCCTTATACGGCGTTGTGGGTTAATGCGCCAGACTGCAAAGCTGTTTGAACTGCAAGGTTGGCGGTTCAAGCTCACCAGCTGCTCCTTGGAAACCCTAGACAGGGTCGCTGTGGGTCGGAACCGACTCGACGGCACTTCACAACCACAACAGTAGAGACTGCTAGCATATGTGTCCGTTGGTAGGCTGAAGGTGGGTGTGAATCCATGCTGTGGTACACATCTTGGGGGTCTTGTCTTTTCCAGGTTATGGCATCAGCTGACACTTCAGGTGCTTGAGTTTGTGCAGGACCCGTGCTTTGCCCAAGGAGATGGTCTCATAAAGGTAAGTAATGGCCCATGTTAACCAAAACCTACTGCTAGTGAGTGCATTCCACCTCGGTGACCCTGCGGGACAGCATGGACCTGCCCTGTGGCTAAGACTAAGCTCTCATGAGGCAGGCTACCACCGCTTTCTCCTGAGGTCCTGCTGCTGAGGTCGCCTGAGTCAGCAGTGGACTGCCACTTCTTTCTCCCTCAGAGTGGCTGGTGGCTTTGAACTACCGACCTTTTGGTTAGCAGCTGAGTATTTATCCACTGAGATCCCAGAGCTACTGCTTAAGAGTATTGTACATATATATATATATGTACCATCAGTTAACAGTATTTCTCTCTATCCACTTGAGCTTCTAAAAAAAAAAACCAGTCAGGCATATATAATAATTTACATTTCCAAAGGGCACATTCTGCACATCTACTTCCTGTCCACCAGCTCTTAGTCCCTCATTCCATAAATGTGAAGTCCTCAGTCGCTCCCCGTCTCCATGCCCCCAGCTCTGCCTCCGACTCTGGCGTCGCTGCTTCTTTGGGTAAGGTCCCGCATTCTGCTTATGCACTTCTACCTTGATGGTCCTAGAGTCCTCTGTTTCTGGACTGTAAGATTAACCATTCCCCTGTTTTTGTTACAAAACTTCTACCTTTACAATTCTGACACTCGCAATTAGTCATGATAACAGTTATTCACTATTGAATCTTACGAATCTTATCTCCATCTCTTTTCGCCACACCCATCTAGACAAGATGACAGCTATTCAGTGGGGGCTCTTTCTTTCCCCCCATACTCAAACTAAACTCCCTCTTGAAACCTTGTAAGCCAGTGCCTTTATCACCCCCTCGTTTTAGGTAGCCTATGTCTAAGTTGCCTGTCCCTATCTACCCTGTGTACAGAGGAGATAGCATTGACACTTGATGTGAAGACTCCTTCCCTCTCTGTTGGTATTCAGAGTAATTACCTCTCTGAGTATAGGTCAGGTTCATCAAATTGTAGCAATTTACCCTTGTTTCCTTAATCAAAAAAATTTTTTTTGTGTGTGTGTGTATAATCTTCCTCAAGTCGAGTTCTGATTATTGAGCCATCGAGGCTAGGTCAAGTGGGTACTGTCTGCAAGTCTGGGTGTTCTTGTGCATCTCCCCTCCCTTCATATCAGCTGGATGCTTCACTCTCAGCTCTAGTCCTCTGTGGCTATGTCCTTGTCCATGGGCTCAAGTGTTCCCAGGTCTCACCACACTTTGGACCAGCCAGCCCTTCCTCTGCTCGCTCTCATCTCCAGCTCAACAGGAGTCAGTGGACTGTGGTTGAACTCAGCCCATCTCTTCATTGCTGCCTTTCCCGCTCTTCCACTCACCAGTAGACTAATGTGGTCGCCAGCAAGCTTCCATGCTTGTTTGTGTGTTCCCTTTGAGTTTTAGTCTTAGAGGGGATTTTGTCCTGAAGGCACTTGATTGCTTGCCTTAATGGCTTCCTGGTGACCAGCTTGCTTAGTCTTGTAGTAGCCAGTCATGCTGCCCTTTTTGCTTTGGTTTTTTCCTGATGATCTTTCCTTGAAGATGTATCTTCTGTCACTTTAGCTGTTCCAGGCTGGTCTGCTTGCCCTTTCTAGTTGGAATGTCCGACCTCACAAGGTTCTGGATGGGACTCAGGATTCCACCTAAGGTCCTATACTCTGTAAAGGCTTTGCAAGAGGCCTATTTCACTGGGCAAGTTGTAGAACCCCTTTTAGGTATTCCATTCAGTTATAGGCTGAAGTTTTCTGTAATAATGCTTCCCAGCATTCCTTTCTATACCACTTAAGTGTCTATTTTACAATAGTAGGCGAGGGAAACTAATATTCATAAGGGAGTCAAGGATTTTAGTAGTATTTCCTCTCTTCAAGCTATACCTAGATGCCTGTATCCCAGACCCCTGTTGTTCCAAGGTTGAGCATGCATCACTATTTACCTCTGTCCCACTTAGGACATGCAAACCTGTCTCAGTGTTCCCCTATCCATCTTGTTCTCCCACCTCCTCTACCTTCTTATATTGCCCTCCCCAACACCCGAACTAAACCCCCCCACCCCACCCCATTGTTGTGGGTACCTTATATTCCATTAATTCTTCCCTCCATTTAAGACAGTCTATTTTATCCTGTAATCTACCTGACCTTCCCACCACCCCGATCTCCGTTCCTCTGTGTTTAACTTCTTTCAAATTGTAATTGTTTTAATCATAGACTGACCTCCCAGATCCTCTGTTCGTATAATTCTATTCTGTTCTTGACTCTTCCATTTGTCAGTTGAATTCAGGGTGATGCTGCCACATACGTCATTCTCTAGTTGTTGTCTGTTCTTGTTGGTTCTCAGTCCACAGAACTTCCTTTAAGATATTTTGCAGCACAGGGTTAGGTTTGGCAAAATCCCTTCCTTTCTGTTTATCCTGGAATGTTTTGATTACAACATCGTATTTGATTGACAGCTTTGCTTGGTAGAGGATTCTTGGGTGGCAGTTTTTTTCTTTCAGGGTTTTATATATGTCTCCCCATTGCCTTCTTGCCTGCATGGTTTCCGTTGAGAAATCCGA